TAACATGACGAAGAGCAAAATTCTCTGGTTCAATTAAATTAAATAAAATAATAATACTCTTAAATTAGGTTGATTTATGTTCAAAAGTTAAATAATGCATTAAAAAATACAAATATTCTATTTAAAAACTGCAATTATAATACATTGAAATAAATTGTATCCACATAATGATAATTGTTATATAAAAAACCATATTAACTTACAATAATGGGCTAATATTGTATATGCAGCTAACTTAGTAATATTTTTTTAGTTATTAAAGAAGAAGGAAGAATTATCGGAATAACCATTTTTTTAATTTTCCGGTGTATTGCTTTCATCAGAATGGAGAAAAAAAGAACACAAGGAACATATGAAAGCCTAAAGTCCCAATTTGCAAACTGTTGCTTTCTTTATTGATTTATTGAACGAAGAGTTATAGGGGTTGAGCCACTTTTGAGACGCACCCGGTATAACATTCTATTTGAAAAAGTTTAACTTCAACCTGGAAATAACTCTGTTAAAATGACACTATAGATTAACATTTTTTTATTAATTTAGGCTACTATTGCTAACCAATTTTTGTAAAAAAATAAAAGAAAATTATTAAATACACAAATAGAAAACCTGCAAAAAGTTTAATAAAAACAGTGAGTCATTCTGCAATAGTTATAAGAAATGTTTAGAAATAAGTTTTTTTTTTCAACTGCTTACTATAATTGTAAATTTAAAATATAAATTTAAAATTTTACTACTTTACAGTTGAGGGTTGGTGTTACAACAGCAAGATAAAACACTAATTCACCACAAAACACTTTATTTTTGTCATCATGTATTTTAATCATCTTCTGATGATGCTAATATGGTTAGCGAAACACGCGTTTAGTACAAAAATAAAGTGTTTTGGTATATTGTGTGAATTAGTGTTTTATTTGCAATTTACTACTATTGAAAAATGAGATATTTTGATATCACATGAGTCATAAAAATCATCAAAATACATTAAATAAATATTACTTATATAATTTAAGTAGCAAAGAGTAAAAATTAAAGATACGGCAACAACGCCGGGCTTCCCGCTACCGCGCAACATGACGCCCGGCCGATATACGCCGTCAAAACAAGAAAATATTCCAGCCGAATTAAATTCGTCGCACGTCCGCCCCTTGCCGCGCCAACCCAGACTACCGGGCTTCGACGTGTCCGCGTGATGTAGGGGGCTGCGTATTGAGTGGCGTTGCATGTATATATATATATATATATATATATATATATATATATATATATATATATATATATATATATATATATATATATATATATATATATATATATATATATATATATATATATATATATATATATATATATATATCCATCTCATTTGTTCTTTAAAAAGTATATGTGCAGAGGTTTGCCTCTCGCCTTTCCTTGTCTAACGTATTGTGGTATATCGCAATGACGGAGCGACAGCGTTCACTGGAATCTTAAATCTATAGAATGAAAAAGAAAAAGCATAGGCAAAACCTTTAGTTGAAGAGAGATAAAATGTATGGAGTAGTAGCGCGTAAAAGGCCGTATTGAGGCGAGCCTCAAATGTAAATTTAAACCTTAAAAGTCGTTCGTTAAAAATATGTATCACTTCCCGATCAGCCCGAGAGATTTTAGGCGACAGGCTGAAAATGCAGAAATTGCATTATTTGGGAATTTGTATTAGTTTGAATCACAGTTTGAATTAACTCTGCCGGTTATTGCACTGTTTGTCTCTAATTGATTAATATATACGTTTTTAATCTGAATTGCATGTTTAATTACTCGTCTTACTGATTACAACGTATTAAGCAAATACCTAAAAAGTGGGCAGTGACTTGTTGATTGATATGATGATTTAGAGGGACCATGCATCATCAGAGGACTTCCCCAGGTAAAGTTTTTCGAATTCGAATCATTTCTAGATAAATTGTGTACTCGTATAGTCAAAAAGTAAAGCAACTTATTACAGAGATTTCATTTTGTTTTATTTTTATAGGATGGGTAGAAAAACAAAATTTTACCATACAGAGTAAAATATAAGACAAAATATCCTGAGGTCGCTTTGATAAAAATTTACTGTTGCAATAGCCCTATGTAATAGGTACCGTATGATCGAAAAAAAAACGGCGTCCAGTTGGCTTGAAAATGACGATCGATGACATTTCCCATATAATTTTACATATAAAATCACAGCGATCTTCATTTCATAGCCATCGCTGACGCCGTTTTTATTCGATCATACGGTATAATACTGCGAATTATATTACATAAGGCTTAAGGGCAACTGCTAAAAATTTAGAAATATTTTAAATACAAAAATGTGCGCTTTTTAAGTCTAGGTATCTAAAATACTAAAAATAATATACAGTGTGTATTGCATTTAAAAAAATTGAGATATAGCATTATAATATTGCAATGTTAGCCGTGCCATAAAAAAATCCCTGTATAAAATAATGTAAATTTTTCTCGGATTTCTTCTTTTGTCCTACATACCTCGCTATATACATACTTAAGCAATAATATATCAATAAGTTAAATTCACTCCAGGTTTTTACCACTTTTTAAAAAATGAAATTTTTCAAATATGAATTATCATGAAAATCCCGCTTATATAGTGCTTCAAATAAATCAATAGTGCGATGTATGCTGAATTTTATGCTGAACCCAATTCTGTACAGAAAAATGGTAATGCGATTGCATTTAAAGAAAAAATTTTTTTAGGATATGCACTTTTTTTATATAGAACTTTTTTTTCATATATTTGTCAACTACGAAGATATTCGATTTCCTCGTACAAATGGTCACCCTATATACATACTAATAAAAATTCTCTTCTAATGTGCCTCACCATCTTCCAGTGCTACGAGCCGCCCCTGCGGCAAGCTGGAGTTTATTTGTTTGGAGTGCAAGGTTTTTGCAAATATATATTTAAACGAATAATAACGTTAATAAAGAAAAGAAATATATCGCTTATTTTTGACATTATTATTGTCTCATTAAACTGGATTTGGCAATAGCTAACAGGCAAACTCCAGTTCAAATTTTATGGCATGAGTGGTCGCGGTGCTCTCAGTGATAAGATACTCTGGTGTTTACTCATTTTCCCAATAGAATCTGTATTCGCTTGTTTCTTAGCTCCAATATAGAGATTATTAATCCGAGGTATTAATTGACTCCTGACTCCTGTTAATGACTCCTGTTAAAAAGCCCGTGACAATTTGAATATTATTCTTCATTAAATCCAGTAAAAAAAATGATTCTTCTCGGCCGTAAATCCTGAGAATTTTCTTTGAGTGTCTTAGACCGTTGGAACCATTCCATAGGTTACCGATGAAGTCTTCCAGTTTCTTGAGTTCTGCTTTAAGTTGGATTCAACGTGGAAAGGGGTTCTATCCCGTGGTGGGCTGGCACCCAGAATAGGAGGACATAATTTTCTTTGCCTAATTTGTTCAGATTCCTTAGGCATTCTTTACCAACTTTGAGATTCATATTATAAGCATATATAATAGATAAGTTGAACACATCATTTGATAGCGTAGATTTCTGGATGAACGATGCTGGAGTATTTAATTTTTGACCCAAGTTCTCCTTTCCCTGTTCCTGCATTGGGTTTGGCAGCATCGGTATACTACGTTATGCTATGATTTTTAAGTGCTAAGCAAACGTCTCTTTCAATTCTTTTTATTGCTTAATACCTACTACATAGAGGTGTTTCTCAAAGTTGCATTTTGGCAATCCTGGTATGTTACCCACTGGGATTCGGACGAGTGTAATTTTTCTTTTGATGGTATTCCAAGCTTCTGAACTGATAATTCTCCCAGTAAAAGTGAGCAGGTATCATTTGGGCTAGTTCAAGATTTTATATACCTAGATGTATTATACAGCGTGGTTCGAATTGTATTCCGGAAACTTCGGCAGAATATAGATAAAAGTAAGTAAAAAAGTTCGTATAAATATATGTCCTAAAATGCTTAGTGTCGGAGATACATGGTGTAGAAGTTTCATTTTTATTTTGATTTTTTCCAAATAATTTATGAAGTAACGTCAGTATTTGGATGAAAATTGGTGTGTGGGTTTTTTTTTGGTATGAGAAATTTGATTTTGATGTCAATATGACACCTACATTTTTTAACTGGTTTGAAGAGTAATAAATTTTCGTCCGTACCTGCATAAAACTACTGAATAAAAAAATATACATTTGCGACGTTTTTTACGTAAAAAAGGTCTCTTGGTAAAAATCGCTAAGATTATTGGTTCTCGAGATATTTAGAATCGAAATTATCAATACCTGTCAGCACTGGCATAAATTAAACATGATGACTAAATAGTTATTAAACTGAAATCATAAATTTGAAATGTTTTGTGTCAAAAGTTCAACAGAAACTGTTTTATGATCATTTTTTCAATACAAATGAAACTTCTACATCTTGTGTCTCAGAAACTAAGCATTTTAGGATATACATTTCTAGAATTTTTTTGCTTATTTCTATCTGCAGAATATGCTGCCGAAGTTTCCGGAATACAGTTCGGACCACTCTGTATATTGAAAAAAAAAACAGAGCGTCGTATAAATAACAAAGTTATTATGGCCTGTCTGTATCGGGAATGGCTTATGAGATCAATATAATAAATAATAATTGTCAAATACCCAAAGTTTCTTACATTTTATAATATACTGTAATATCTGCCAATGAAAGAAATACAGTTTAATATTGCACGAAAGGATACGTTCTATCAGTAATACTATGTAGAACAATAATAAAATGATAAGAAACTCAGAAGTTTAGCTAGCGATATTTTGCTCCGTTATGCCGGAAGCTGTCCCGAACCTCTATCCCGTTTAGCAAACACGAACAAAGGCAACGACGACAAAACCAAAAAAGATTAGAGGGAAAACTAAAAGGAAAATTTGGGATGCGCGCGTCAAACCGTCACGTAAAAACTTTGAGGCTGATGGATCCGCTCGAGTTTCAGTTGGAATTCGACGCTCGGGACGTTGCGACGTCTCGATAAAGCGTCCTCTGGCAGTTGCGGCGTTAAGCTTTCAACCGAACATTATCGGAAAAGTTTGAAGAACTTTTTTGGCTTTCCCGAAGCTATTTATTTCGTTTTGTTCGGAAATTTTCGCTTTTTTCTAGTTGGAGATTTCCAGTAAACTTTTTTGGCAGAGTTGAAAAGTTACGACGAAAGGTAAGTTAAAGAATTGATAATGTTGTAAGGCTATTAATTATTTAAAATTAATTTATTATTTGTTATACTTTTCGATATTTAATTTTGTTTAAAAATTGTTGTGAGGCTATAGCTTGTCTAAAAATTAGTTTGATGTTATTGTAATTGAAAGTAAATTAAATTGAAATTTTCTGAGTAAGAAAATATGAAAAAATGTTCACTACGACAAAAAATAATTCAACAAATTGTGATTTTTAAAACAGTATGTTTCCAGACCCTTTATTTAGTTATGCCGTCAAAATTTCGTGTTTTTTTCTAGTTGGATATTTCCAGTAAACTTTTTTGGCAGTGTTGAAAAGATACCACCAAAGGTAAGCTATTGAGTTGATATGTAGGCATTTATGAATGAATTAATTTTTTGTTATTCTTTTTAATATTTAATTTTGTTATTTAGTTGTGCTGTCATAAAACATTTGGAAAGTTTTGATAAATATTTTTAGTATAATTAAATTTACTGCGGTGGAATCCTGATCATTATTTATGTTTAATATATTCAATATGATTGTTATTAACTATATTAGGTGCCTATTTGATAGTAATACAGTTTCTGATATACAGGGTGTTCCTTAATGGTATATGCTAATATTTAATGGTGACTTATTCTATGAAAAAAACTTCATATGCATGTATGCCCTAAACATTTTAACTATTGAGATGCAGGGTGGTAAAATTTTCTAAAAAATATCTTTTTTATAATTCTGATGTTATTGTAGATATCTTTATGAAATTTGATACACGTCTTCTATGCATAAAAATGCACTTTTTAATAGTACAAAAAGAACATTTTTTGTTGTATTTCTTAATTTTCTTCTAGCCAATGCTGAAACGATTTTCGAACCATCATCACCGCATCTGATTTTTAGCGATTTGACCATGAAATAAAATTACTTTATTTTTTTATAGAAAAACCATACGTCTGACAAAACAAATCAAGAGATGAAAATTGTTTAGAAATTAATAACGATTTTGAATATAATATTTCTCCAAACACACTCAATATAAAACGCGTACGGACGCCACTGGTTGATATAAACTGATTGAGAATTAAAAAAATGATTTTCTGCTTAAATTTTTGGGATCACTGGATCTTTTTTGGGTTATTAAAAATTTCTGGGTTGTTATATTAAATTTACAGTAAAGAAATTCTTGTAAATTTAATTTACTACCTATGTTGCCATATTATGAAGATATTAGTAAGTTTTTTAATTAAAATTAAAAAAGAAATCCAAAAAAAAATTCAAAAAATTCCAAATTTTCATTTTTTTTCGCGAAAAAAAAACCATAGACGTGTTCTGGGGTCGAAATATACTACCCCTAAAAATATTTGCACTTTTTTAAGACCCACACTGTATAACATCACATTTATTAAAAAAATATATAAAATTTTACCAGCCTGTATCCCAAAAGTTAAGATGTTTAGGCCATACATCCATATGAAGTTTTTTTCTTAGAATAGGTTCAAAAATTACCCTTAGAATCGCCCCTTAAACATTAGCATCTCATTAAGGAACATTAGGTTTAAGTTAGGTATCAATTAAGGTATATGATATAAAATTATAATATTTTGTTTTAACAAATTTGCAAGTGCATGCATAATTTTTTTATAGGTTGATATTAAACATTAACTACCTGTAGTAATAATAACAAGTTTAATAAAATAATTATAGTAAACTTCATTTACTCTTGAAAGATATTCCGAAAATAATAGTCATTAAAACCGAAAAATAATAACTTTAATAATGCGCTTTTATAAAACATCTTAGATATTTTTTTGAATAAGTGTATCTCATCATTACAAATTGATCATACTCGTCAATGAAATATTGAAATATACATATCAGAGATTATTGAAAATGTTTAAAAAAATCTAAACTTTTATTTTCTCTTTGATATCGCTCAGATTTTTTTAGCTGTAAGGCACTCGTTTCCGGCAGAGCACGGCCCCTTGTTATTGAAAAAAAGGTCTCTGTACACCTTTTTGGTACTGTGAAGTCCCATACTGACTATGCGTATGATGCGGTTTGTCGATGTGATGCGCCGATTCGTATTGTCATTCTATACGCACAATACATTAAGGCGGCGATTTGTGAATGTGATGCGGTTCATCGATGAGTTGCGTCCATGCAGTTTGTTACCCCATTTTCATGCGATTCATTAGTTCGTGTGGAAATGCGGTCATTTCGTGTGCGTCATATTTCTTTTTGGTGGTTCGCTAAGAAACTTACTTCTCGCCGAATAGCAGCAAAAAGCATTGCATCGACGCATCGTCGCATCAAATAGACGCATCTGAGTGACCAGTGTTGCGAACTTTCCGAAATAAAGTTTCCCACGAAGACGGTCAAGATCTTCCGTTTTTTCTAAAAATTCCCGCGAGATCTCAGAGTTGCGTCCATGCAGTTTGTTACCCTATTTTCATTCTGCGTTAATGGAAAGAGTCGATGCGATTCGTTAGTTCGTGTGGAAATGCGGTCATTTCGTGTACGTGATATTTCTTTTTGGTGGTTCGCTAAGAAACTTACTTCTCGCCGAATAGCAGCACAAAGCATTGCATCGACGCATCGTCGCATCAAATAGACGCATCTGAGTGACCAGTGTTGCGAACTTACTGAAATAAAATTTCCTACGAAGACGGTCAAGATTTTCCGTTTTTTCTAAAAATTCCTGCGAGTTCTCAGAGTTGCGTCCATGCAGCTTGTTACCCCATTTTCATTCTGCGTTAATGGAAAGAGTCGATGCGATTTGTTAGTTCGTGTGGAAATGCGGTCATTTCGTGTACGTGATATTTCTTTTTGGTGGTTCGCTAAGAAACTTACTTCTCGCCGAATAGCAGCACAAAGCATTGCATCGACGCATCGTCGCATCAAATAGACGCATCTGAGTGACCAGTGTTGCGAACTTTCTGAAATAAAATTTCCCACGAAGACGGTCAAGATTTTCCGTTTTTTCTAAAAATTCCTGCGAGTTCTCAGAGTTGCGTCCATGCAGCTTGTTACCCCATTTTCATTCTGCGTTAATGGAAAGAGTCGATGCGATTCGTTAGTTCGTGTGGAAATGCGGTCATTTCGTGTACGTGATATTTCTTTTTGGTGGTTCGCTAAGAAACTTACTTCTCGCCGAATAGCAGCACAAAGCATTGCATCGACGCATCGTCGCATCAAATAGACGCATCTGAGTGACCAGTGTTGCGAACTTACTGAAATAAAATTTCCCACGAAGACGGTCAAGATTTTCCGTTTTTTCTAAAAATTCCCGCGAGTTCGCAAATCCAAAATACACTCACCGGTGCAATAAACGGGCACCTTAAAATTTTGATGTATTTTAAAGTTTAATATATTTTGTTGTAGTGGGCCGATTTTGATGATTTTATAAGCAATTTGTAGCTAAATTATTTGACTTTTTAGTATCTTTTTCTAAATTAAAAATGAAAGTTTCTATCTGTAAATTATACAAGGGAAAACAAAATGTTGATATTTTGGTGAAAGTTTGAAAAACTTTGTGGAATATATTAATAAAGCAGGGATTTTAAAAGTAATTTTATCATCTAGGTATGTCTTTCCTCGAGAGTTTATTTTTTGATTCATCGCAATAGCTTTATTTTTATTGGAAATATTCGCTTTTGAATAAGACAGTAACGATTTACAGTAATTTGAGCCATTGATTTTGAATCTTCATCACCACACTTATAAAATAGTGTTTATTGTTTTTGTAGCGTCACGGTCATTGAAAAGTCATATTATTATTATTTGTTGACGTTTACTATAGTAGGGATGGTTTTAAGTTCTGAAGTATCGGCTATTGCTGCTTTAATTGATCATGGCAGAGATCAACTTTTGGACATAAAACCATATCTGCTAGAGTTACTGCCTAACAGACAATAATATAATTGGATTCTTCAAAGACAGTGAGATTACATAAATCATAACCACTATTTTATAAGTTTGTATCTCCTATAGGATCAAAAGCAAGGGCATTGTTTTAATGTAGAAAATACCAAAAAAATATTAGTGTCTACAAAATCGAATATCTCCAAAAAAAATAAAGCTATTGAGATGAATCGAAAAACACATTATTTGGAAAAGATAACCTAGATGAAAGAGTGATTATTATTAAATTCCTTGCTTTGTTAACGTACTGCATATGGTGTTGCAAACTCTCACCAAAATATCAACATTTTGTTTCCTCTCGTATTATTGACAGATGGCAATTTTACTTTAAAATACCTGAAAATTTTAAGGTGCCCGTTTTTCGTGCCGGTAGTGTCATCACAGATTACGTATACCAGATGTGGCACTTTTATCTTGCTCGTAGATTACATCTTGCTGGTAAACGCAAGATTTCGTTTTTTGCGAATGCATTGTTGCCTTTTGTAAAAAATAAAATTAAATATTTGAAATGACTATTGTTGCTGTCCAATGCTTGGTTGATTTCAATATAGAATTTTTCGATTTCCTCGTCCAAGTGATTAGTTTTTAGGACGACTTCATCGTCCGAGTGATTAGTTGTATTCCCATAATTAATAATATCAAATAATGAAAAATGCCTATTCCACAAAAATAATTTCATTTCGCAATTTTTCTCTTCCTTAAAGAATAATTAAATCAAGTCACCAGATAATTCTAGAAGTTTTAGTACTAAAAATTGGTTTAGAAAGCTGTTTCATTTAGGCAGTTGAAGTAAAGTTTATGGTACAGTTAAAAACTTACGACGGAATCTAAATATTCAACATGTTAAATAAATGGCCCAGCAAACACACTTCAATGGCAGATTGTAGAAAAGGCGTTGGCAAAAATAAAATCTTGTATTGGTACTTTGCGGCTGCCATTATTGGCAGAACACGCAAATGACCCACAGGCCGTCATTCGGCCAACGAATAATTTACCATCAAGGCAGAATGACAGCTTGCCAATATCAAGCCATTACATTTTTTATTTTAACGGGCGAATGATGGCTTAGCTATATCAAGCCATTATGTTTATTATGAAGGGCGAATGATGGTTTAGCTGTATCAAAACATTACATTTATTACAAAGGAATAATGAAGGCTTAGCTGTATCAACCCAATACATTTATTATACAGGGTGAATAATGGCTTGCCTTTAGATATGTTATGAAGGGAAACTCAAGTTTTCTTTCAATGAGGCATGGGGCCTATCATTTATGTTAATTTAACGTACACGTTAACTCCAAAACAGATGTCTCCACAGACTGATATCAAGTTTCAACTGACGAGTTTCAATTAATTGTTTTTTTTTTCAATTTACCTGTGGTGACATATGTTGCTGGAATTAATGTGAAATAATTTTATTTTTTA